ACAGGAAAAAACTGAAAGTAAAATTTACTGTTATCGTCTTTCATTGGGGTTACTAACCCTTTGTGAAAAGTGTGAAAAGGCAATGGTGAACAATTATGTTCTTGCTTGTGTACGTGTGTGTGTGTGTTTGTTAGCAAAATATTTCATAAACCACTGTATGAATTTGAATTAAAATTCACATCTACAACTGAATAACAGTTAGAGTTCAATATGGCCGCCAGAGCTTAAAGCCAATACAAAAATGGCTTCAACTCAGTCATTTTTACAGATCTGGAGCAACAATCTGATGTAGTAGTAGCTGAGAGTCATTCAGGGAATATAACCTGAGTATGACGGCTCACTTTATTGCATACCGTTACACAAAGTCTATCATTTCTCTACATAAGGTTATTTTAGTTTAACTCTGTGACATGAAAGGTTCAAGGTTCTTTATTGTCATTTGCATCACATGTGGTACATGAGGTGGAACGAAATTGTGTACTCAAGGTCCCAGTTCCACACAAAGCAAAAATATAAAGTATTAAAGAAAAAGAAACATTATACAAGGATCTAAGATATAGGCTAAACAATAATAATTGTAATGTAATACGATGTATTAAACAGCAGATATGTAATCCTTCAAGAAATGCAAGGCCTTTAATAGTTTTTATTTATTTATTCATTTTTTTGGAAACTATCATTTTGCTATTCGACACAACCTAGATATAATTTCATGTGGCAATATGTTTAAACTGCTAATAGAATTTATATAATTTGTTGAATCATTTGTTTAAAATGGCCAACCACTTTATAACAAAAGATTTTAATATAATTTTAGCGTGTACAAAAAACGAGTTTATGTGCGGGTGTAACATTTGCAAACAGAATTCTGTTTGTAAAATAAAAAGCAACTCCTAAGATTCATATTTCACATACATTTTGTATTTTGTGTGACGCTTTTGAGCTCATGACCTTTAGTGTTTCTGTGATCTTTCTTTATGTCTCCTATGTGTTGGTACATTCCTCACCTTCTTGTGCCGTGTATTCAGATTCGATGATCCTGGCCAGGCCGAAGTCTGCTATCTTGCAGTGCAGCGTCTCGTTGACGAGTATGTTGGCTGCACGCAGGTCACGGTGGATGTAGTTCTTCTTTTCGATGTACGCCATGCCCTCAGCTATCTGTCACAAACAGAGGGCGTGTCACTGTGACCATCAACTCGGATGCAAATTGAATTTGTTAATGTACAATATAACACTTTATCTTTACAGCACAACAATCTGTGCTCTGTTCATGTCTGTTTGCGCTGGTCAAAGTGTAATAACTGGAGCAGAACCGCTGCCAACAGATGAGGTACTGGCAACAAGGGGGTTGAACAGGATATGCCAGTTATCAGGAAGTTGACTGCTTTTTGCGAGGGGGGAGGAGGGCTCAGTGTGGATGGAAAAATAGCTTGACTTCCTGTCCGGATGTTAATAATTGACGTAGCATGAGGCTTTCAAGCCAGATGAGCAAAAGCCCCGCCGCAGAAACCGCACAGCTACTGATGACAGTTTCCATGTGTGTTCACAGCATGACGGGTGTCAACGAGTCAACTACTGTACGAGGCACATTTAAAGTGTCACTGTAGCGTGGCAACGTGTAGGAACCGGCTGCGAGATCTGGGTTAAGGGCCGATGTTTTTATTTAAGACAAATGCTGTGAAATTTGGTGAGCTAAATAATGTTGTGCCGTTAAAGACAAAACCAGCAGCGGTGGGAGAAATATAATAAGCACATTGAAAAGCTGAAATAGCGCTTTTATTAGTAGAGGTTATCATCATGATGCAAATGTCACATACAAGATTCACAACTGAGACTGTGTTGTTAAAAAGTTTCCCACCTGTGCTGACATGTCGATCAGCTTATTCATCTTGAGCATTTTCCCTTCTTGTGTTTTTAGAAAGTCTAGAAGGCATCCTGGAAAAAAAAATCAAGAGAAAAAGACACGATTCAGTCAGAAAAAACTGGCCTTTAAAAGTCAAACCGTCAGCGTTGGCACTTTGATTTGTGAATTTGGTGTTTTATTCTTTCATAAGCTCCATGTGCTTTGTTCACTGTTTGTAAATGAAACATTAAGTTATAAATGTTTGGATTTAACAACACTGGTTTTAGGAATGCCATTCCATAAATTTGTTCATTACAATAAAACTACTTCTGATGAGCCAACAATGTTCAGTCAGGTCATCTGTTGTTGGATTTATACCTGGATTAATGAGCACGAACTTTGGTGTTCTGAACCACTTTGGCATGCTCTGCCTTGGGGGAGTTGACTGGGCATAGGGCGGGCCCCAGAGGCCATCTTATCTCCAGCAAACTGGTTTTTCCCACTCTGTGAGTGAGCTGTTTGTGGGATTCAGACTGCAGGTTTACTTGTGATTCCTAGAGTTTCCAAAAGCAGAATGGGAGGAAGATCAGGCTCCTCTCTTGTGGACCCAACTTCCAGTTTCTGTCTGTAAGACTAACACATTTTCTACTTTTAAGACTAAGTTTAAGTCTTTCCTTTTTGATAAACCCTATAGTTGACTTGGGTTTCCTGAGCTATCCCTTAGTGATTCTGCTATAGGCTTAGACTGCTCACTCTGCTGCTGTCTTTGCTTGCTCTATACCTGTTTATATTTGTAATTATTTCTATCTTAACATGTTTCTTTTTATTTCCTCCTATAGAAACTACACCCGGACCTGCCACTCTGTGTTTGTCTGTTCCTCCTTCCTGTCCTCTCAAACCTCAGCCGGTTGAAGCAGATGTCCACTCGTCTTGAGCCTGGTTCTGCTGGAGATTTCTTCCTGTTAAAATTGTGTTTTTCCTTCCCACTGTTGCCTTTGTGCTTGCTCAGGACAGGAGACTGTGACAAAGTGAAGATGGAGCACAATCTGCTGGCTTCCATGGATGGAGAACTTTTACTAATTGTCTTTTTTGTGAATGTTTCTGTTCAGTGCCCTGAGATGACTTCTGTTGTGATTTGTCACTATATAAATAAACTGAATTGAATTGAATAGTTACATTTTAATCACGTTTATGTTTTAGACTTTTAATAAACCAGACAAAACCCTTAATATGCGTATATAAAGTATATCATATTAGACGTTCAAGAAATGCTAAAGAACATTTCTCATTTATTTCTGTTCATTTTTAGATTTAAGAAATGAAAGATGAATCAAGAAGCTTTAACCAGAACAAGTTGTGATTAATATAACCAGTATGCGGAAATTATGTATGACAATTTTATATGAAATAAATTACTGTTTTAATTTCAAATTCATTATAAAAAAATCATTCCTATAAATCAGAGTTTTACAGGAAATTAAAACTGCCAGTATTTTACTGTAAATTTCACTTTTTTTTTTTATTAATTTTTAAAGTGTACCAGTGCTAACACTGCTTACAAAACCTGAATATAGTCTGTTTAATGGGAAGGTTTTTTTATATATATATAACTTATTTTGCTATTTTGTGTTTTCTTAGTATATATAAATGCATATTTCACTCATTTCTGAGCAACACCGCCTACACAGAAGCAGATTTAAATGTTACACCATCTGCAGTAGACTGGCCCGTCCTGATTATCTCCTTATTCAAATAAACCCTCTAAATCAAACAGGAGAATAAGGGACAATCTGTAAACATTTGAAGATTCGCCTTTGTATTTTGAACATTTTTTTTATGCTTTCCTTTTTATTTGTTGCTGCTTATCGTTCTTTTTACTGCTTCACCTCAGCTGTTCAAACTGACATACGTTTCTTTAAGCATTGCATGTGCACGATGCCTGTGATCAGCTGATCAAAACAAGAAATGTTGAAAAAAATCATTTTGTAGTGAGAACCCAAATTAAGAACATTTATCATAAGTTTAATCACTTTTTAACAGGACAACTGCTTGAAAGAACAAAAGGTTGACAGCGCTCTTTTCTTTTAGCAGTGACATTTGTTATTTGATCGTTCTTTAGTCAAACAGAGAAGAGGTGGTCCAATGGGCCATTGATTTTCAGGTCTCTCTTGTAAATGAGTCCCCGAGGATCAATGGGACTAACCTGTATAAATAAAGGTTGAATGAATGATAATCTTAAAGATGACTCAGCAAAACCTAAAGCCACAACAGAATATCAGAAGTTTTTTGTTCTGTTTTCATATCCAGCCTATGGGAGGATTGCCTTCTGATGCAGGTCTGCTTCAGTTTCTTATTTTGCAGACGATGCTAATTTAATAACAACACAATCACAATGAAGCGTGTCCTCTCTCTTTCATTCAAATATATAAATGTATATTATGTGCATAAGACAGTCTGACCAGGGACGGCATGTAAAGAGCAAAAGGAACTTTATGAGTGTCCTTTGCCCCCCGGCCCCACCTGGTGGCACCCCTGTAGTCAAACGCCATCTTGGTATTACTCACCGTTGACCATGAACTCAGTCACAATAAGAATGGGCTCCTTCGTGACCACAGCGTGCAGTCGTACGAGTCGTTCGTGCTGCAGCTGCTTCATGAGGTTGGCCTCCTGCAGAAAGGCCTCAGGCTCCATCGTTCCCTCCTTCAAGGTCTTTATAGCAACTTTCTGGGTGTTCTTATAAAAGCCTGTTGTAGAGATTTAACAAATAATCTCAATTCCTCACAGTGTCTTGATTTTTAAGACGTCTCCAGTCACCAGATAGAGGTTTCTCTTACCCATCCAAACTTCTCCAAACTGCCCAGCCCCCAGTTTCTTCATCATCTTCAGCGTCTCTCTGGGAATCTCCCATTCATCCTGTGCCCACGGCTGCTGAAGGGCCTTTGGCTTACAAGGAGCGTACAGCCGCAGACACAACCCATCTGCTGTGCCTGCACGCCGGAGTGATACACTTCAATTTAGCAAACTTTTTTTTTCTATCACTGACGTTAAAATTAATATACTAAGAAGACTATTTCTTTAATTATTATACTGAAAGTATGTGTGCAGGAAAGCTTTTTTTTAATCAACAGTTGGCAGTCAGCTACTACATTTGGCTGTTTTATCTTGTGGTTTTGTCACAGGAGAGGAAAGACTTTCAATACATTCACGCAGGAAATGCAGAAACGCATCATGGCATTTTGAGCTTTAGCTTTGAATTCAAACTCAGAAGAGACGACTTGAGAGTCACAGCAGTGAATCAGAGTCCAAATCAACTGATTATGGTGTATAATTAATGCACATCTCTTAATTCAAAATCTATAAATGGATAAAAAGTCAGAAATAAATATATGTATTTATGGTTCACACTCACGACTGTAGTATTTGACCAGCTCCTGTAGGGACGGGAAGGAGTTGGAAGGGGAGATGTAGTAACCACCTTTGTCCAAACAGCGTATTTTGTAGTGTTTTACCACATCTCCTTGCTCTCGATCGCAGTCTCTGATTGACAGTGAGTACGACCCTACGGAGCGATGAACACGATAGTTCATATGGCTGAAGCGTCACTTGCTTAAAAACCAGATGCATTTGTGTGTTTTTGTCTGGGCTCACCTTTGCAGGTCTCACTCTCTCGAACAAGAAAGGCACCTGGTTTATTCCCAGGGGCTAAAAGCAGTCGTTCAGTCTCCCTCCTACTCAAATCCTTAAAAAACCACCTGCGTGAAAATAAAAAAACGTACACAACACAGCCTGTAAGTATGTTCAACGGCAGTACTACAACAGTGCTGATTGTGCGCTGCTTTTGAAGTTGTTGCATACTTCTCCTCCTCCAGCGTATCTGCTCTGACTACATAGTTAGATGGGATTAAACCTTCTTGTCCAGTGATCAAAGACTTAGCGAGCCACCATTCTCCACTTCTACAGAACAGACAAAAACAAAAATGTTGTTGCTTCTGCAGCGTAAATGCTCTGGTTCCCAACCATGGTCCTTGAGGAACGCCATCCTGCATGCTTTTATTGTTTCCCTGATCCAGCACACTTGATTCAGTGATTTTATTCGTGAAGTTCTGGAGAAGTCTATTAATCACCCATTCATTCAAATTGTGTGTGTCAAAGCAGGGAAACAACTAAAACATGCAGGATGGTGTTCCTCAAAGACCAGTGCTGGGAACCCCTAAGAGGTCGACACTTACTCTTTTAAAACTTTGAGATTTTCTCCCTTTTTGAAAGACAGATCCGTCTCGTTGGTCGCTTTAAAGTTGTGCTGTGCCACAAACACATTTTCATCTGAAGAAACAAAGTTTATATAGACTGTCATCACCGCTCCTTTTATTTTCTATCGTTTATTTTTTACCTTGACCCTGCATTTATTGCTTATTTTGAATTTCTAACATTTATTGAGCTTTTTTTTTGTTTACTACATTGCATTAGTAGTCTAAGTAAAGATTGTTCTGTTTTAATACTCGTGTGACTTAAAAATAACTTTCCTGTGTGAAGAATCTTGTTTATCATATCCCCCAGAAAAGAAAAGAGGAAATTCAGCTGCGATTTCGATCGCTAAGTGCGGACTTGCGTTGCTGCTATTAACATTTTCTGGATCTGATAAATGAAGGCATATTACTCTAAAAATAAAACTCAGTTTAATAAAAAGGAAGCAAAAAAGTAGGAGTGGTGCAGTGTCTAATAAATACCGTTAACTGAGTAGGAGTTTGCTTTTTGTTCCTGAAAACAGAAAATATATATATATATATTACTCGGAAGAAGACACATTAGATCACTTAAATGATAAAATAGCTGTTTTGGGTGCTTGAAGGAACGACGTTTGTTCTTTTTTTAATACTTACAGTATGATTTGAGGAGTTGAAACCATGAGAGTTGGGTTTTTTTTTGTAGAATCCTTCCTCTTTTGGTTTCTGGCCACTGCAAGTGCAGCCCATCCTGTGTGTTACAGTGAAAGCCAGTGAACTTGTGGGTTTTTGACACAGACTAAATCAACTGTAGTATTATATTTAATGTAATTTTACATATAAAAGCCTATGTAGTACAACCAATCACATTAAAAGGAATAAACATGCTCATCGTGTTCTTTTTACCTGACTGAGCCGATGAGCTTCACCGTTTTCAGGTCACTGTCTTTGACTTCATACCCGATCTGAAAAATGGACCCAAATCAATAAACAATAAAATTCTTCTTGGGTTGTTTATTTATTATTTTTATATAGTCTCTTCAGTTGTGTTTGTTGGTCACAAATCAACCTCCCACCCCCCAAAAAGAAATAAAATGTTTATCAAAACAGGAAGTGGACAATATATTAGCATTTTTTATGATAGCAGTTTATCTGCATGTGTTCAGCAGAACCAGAGAAGGAGGAAGATAAAATATGAGTTTTCTGCATGAATTGAAGTTTGTTTCTCCGTATTTGCAGTTTTGTTGACCTGCTGGTTTTAATCCAATTGAAAACGGTTTAATAGAAAATTTTGACTGGTGAGTAAAGCCTCATCTATCGGTAATCAAATCCAAATTTGCTCCAAGTGTTTTGGTTTTTCTCATTACTGGACTTGGAAAACGTTCTGATTTGTCTGGTGAAAGGGTCGGCTGTTTGTTACAGGAAGTAAAGTTTATGATTTTACATGTAAATAACTATAAATGGGAACATTGCGTCTAACGGAGCCGGACCTCGAGAGACGACCGACATCAATGAAACCATAAACGTTGCTTTAAAACACTGAGCAGCAATAAAATTACAAATTATAAATCACCAGCAGTGAAGTGGTTTTAACTATTTAAAAGTCTTTTTATGTGAAGAAAAAAATTGTTCATAATAAAATATTTGGAAGAATGCTCAACATTTTCCTTCACCTTGGTGCTCTTTTTTTTTTCCTTATATGAACAAATATCAATTCCTTTTTCCTACAACAGATTATTTTTATATTAAACTGTTCATTTATTTTTCCACTTCGTGAGTTATTAAAATTACAAAAATATATTTGTCTACTCTACATAAACATTTATTACCATATAATCTCTTTTTACGAACATAAAGTCAGTACAAGTGTTCTATATTTGTATTAAAACAGCTGTTTGCTTTTGATTCTTGAGGTTGATTATATTCTAACATTTGTCACATTATGAGAAGATAAAAACATAAATCTATAATAATGCAGAAAGTAAATACCTTGAGTTCTGGCCCTTGTTTGTGTCTTCAGAAGTAACAAAGATACAGAATGACGAGTTTCCTCGGTGAACGCAGACCTCTTGTCAGCGTGCTACTCTCACTCAGTCTGGTTTGGAAAGTTTCTCTCTCTCACTCACACACACACCCACACACACACACACACACACACACACACACACACACACACACACAC